AAAAAAAAAAAAAAAAACATTTAAAAATCTATTCAAGCTAGACTAGTGACTTATTTCATTTACTCTTGGGGAAAGTAAGAGAAGTGGTAGAAAGCTCCAAAGACCCAATGAATGGAAGTCAGATCTCATTCCAGAATCAGTGGTGCCTGGATTCCTTAGTCCAGTGATTCCCAAGGGATGTGCCACATGAAAGTAAAGGAAATATGCCAAGATATTCCCCTGTGTGAGGTGGTAAATGCTTTCCCCACCTACGCAGCACCCTGTGTCTGCCCCAGCTAATCCAGCAGCAACTCTAGCTGCTCTTCTGGGGGCTGCTACCACTGCTGCTGCCTTCACCTGCCCTTTTCTGCCCCCTTTCCTGTGCCAGGACCATCCCACACTCTCCCAGCAACATACGCTGTTGTGAGTGGGTGGGTAAACACACAGATGGAGTAGCGCTTTGCAGCCTGGCTCATCCCTTCCAGTCCTCTCACACTTTGGAGGCTGCCAAGAGGGAACATGTAGAATGATTTTCCACTAATTTGGGCCTGTACAAAGGCAAAACAATCTAATATTTTTTTAATAACATTTCCGTTGGAAATGTTATTTTTCAGAAATCAGTAGAGGTAGAAGAAGATGGTTCAAACTCAGACTCTGTATATTGTCAAATTGTTTGATGTACCATGCTTAGAGCAGCCAAGAGATTGTAAGTCATCAGGAAACTGGTTACAGCTCCTTGATTCTCTTTTTGGTCTCTGGTGTTCTAATGTATCTTCGTGCCCGTGCCTCACATGGTATACTATGGTGGTAACAGAAAACACATAGGAGCTGGCTTGTTTACTTTACTCTTGCTAGGGACTCCCAGGTGCTGGGGGAATCTGTAGGTGGATAGAAAAAGCCATAGTATTATTTTTAGGTTGCACTGTCAGAGTGGGACAAGGAATCTGATCAAGCAGGGCAGCCATAAAGTTCCTGAAAAGGTTCAAAAGTTTGCAACTTCCCTTATTTTAAAAGGGAAGGCACTGTAGGTTATCTTGAAATATTACCCAGTAATAAGACTGGCAACATAGGATGATAAAAACACGTTACTAGAGATTACTGAAAAATGACAATTGCAATGCTGTTTTCTACATGCAAGGAAAGTAATAATTGTTAGTCTCCTTTAGCTTAACATTGAATCATTTATTTTCATTTTATGAAAGTATAAGTTTGGGTTAAATTAGCAAAGTAGAAGCTGATTCCCCATATAAATGCATTCTAAAGAAAGTGTGCTGGAGATGAAACCATTGTCATGTCTACCGGTCTTTTAATAGGACTTTATAGAAATGAAGTGATTTTGTATCTCTATTAAACATTTCCAAAAAGACAATAAAGAACTAATTACCAGTAATCCAACAGCCATAATAATTAAAATAATCCAAGTTTAACAGCAGACCATTAAAATTCTTTAGGGAAAACTGTTCTGGCAACACTAGTTGGATGTTCCTAACTACAAATTACAGTAACACAAAGGATGGAGATTTAGCAAAACTGTATTTTTTGTATTGAAATGAAAACTGAAAATCTCTGTTTTGAAGCTTTATATTGAAGTTTGGCCAATGGGAGGAAGACTGGCAAGATACAGTATCTTATTTATTTAACATAATAGAAAACAAACGGGAGTCTGTTTGTTTGGATATCATTCCAGAAAACCACTGTGCCTGTATGATTTAGCTGGGAGGGACTGATTTATGAGAAATAATGAAAAGAACTAAATATAGAGCTTAGCTTGGCTGTGCAATGACTAACTTGGGATTTAATAACAATGCAAATATTTGAAGGATATAAATACGAAGCTCAGAGAAGAATTACTTAGGGTGGAACACAAGGGGAAAGTAGGAGTTACTGGGGTAAAATTAAAGGAGAGAATATTTAAAATGAATTGCAAGGGAAAAAAATCTTTCTACCATGGAAATGAGTCAGATAAGTAGGAAAGGCATAAGTAGGAAAGAGACATGACAGCCTATACAAGAAAGAGGCCTACTGCTTAGGACATTTAAAATAAAATAGGATAAAATGCTGAAGGGAACAGTACTTTCTTAGCAGGAAAATATACTGTTGGCTTATCAGTAGGTGTTTCTTATTTCTAGCATAATACATGGTGGAAAAAAATCTGTTTGGAAAAAATAGCATGGTTCAAAATAGTCAGAGCTAAATAGCAGAAGCAAAAAGACTATACAGTATTATGCTGGCTGTTTTCCAGTTTACAGGATTGTTGCAAGGATTATATGATTTTTCATCTCATTTTGGAACAATTCATATAAATTAATTTACTATGTATTTGTAAGTCCTTGCTTTGGGGGTATAGCACATAATTATATAAAAGCAGCAGCAGCAATAGCAATAGTAATGTTCACTGCCAGTGACACAAAAGTTACACGGCAGGGGTGCTGTAGTACAAGAACTTCTCTTCCTCAGTAACTATTTTAGAGAAATCTCTGATGTTCTGTCATTCAAAAAGGAGAAGCGAGTAACAGATAATTTAGAGAAACAATACCAAATTTTTAATTTTAATTATGATACTGAGTTAACTTTATCATGACACTCATAACCAGAATAACCATTCCTCAACCAGAATTTTACAGTGTACAAAGTATATACAGCTAATGTTAAGCACCTTCATCACAGATAAGACTAATAAGAAACATACAGAAGATGCTATTATTCAGCCTACTGTAATAAGTAGAAGGAAACAGAAACAGAACCTACCAGAACACACAGGACAGTGCTTGTTGACCTGTTATCATAAATTTGACTTTTTCCAAGGGCCATTTCAATATATGATGTGAGGGAGGGGTGTTTGGTGATCTTTGAACATTTTGGTAGCATCAACAATGTAACCAGCATTATTACTACTGCTTTTGTCAGATACTACTTCACCTAAATCATATTCAGAACTGACATCAACATCATCATCATCATGAATCTAGAGCAGTGGAAGAACTTTTTTCCATTTCTGCTGTGGGATTTTACAGGACCTGGAGACACTTCCATTCCCAAGGAATGGGCAGAAAATTTGAGGGCAACATCTTATTTAGTCTCCACTAGGCCCTTAATGATTTTGGTGCGTCAGCTGTTTGTACAGTCAATATCCATCCGCTCTTTTATTATTGATGGCTTAGGATATTTTTTGTCCCATCCCCAAAATTGAAAAGGAAGACTGCACAGCTAATTCCAAACTGGCACAACCAAGTGACAGCAGGGTATGAGACTATTAATTTCCTGCACATTTCATATTCAAAAGAAGATATTTAAAATCTTTGATATGGAGATACTCTTATTATAATTACAGTATGTCCAACACCAATGGCTCAACAACATTATAGTATTACTAGAGAGATCTTAATTTCACCATGGTTGCAGCATAATTTAATATTTTCTTATTACACAGAAATATTTAGATGATGATGTAAATAAAGAATCAGCTGCTGAATTACCCATAGCATTCTTTAAACATATTTATAAATATCACATTTATCTTAACAAGAGCTACTGAGGAGGTTTACATTTCTGGGGGGTCTTAAATCACATTTATGGGCTTTTGTCACAAAACAAAAATAGAGCCGGAGCACTGGCTTACTTGTGGATGTGTATACTAGTGAACTGGGGGCACTGTACACGGGAGATCCCTCCTGGTTTGCCTGGCACAGCAGCACCCTGCCTACGAGAGAGAGAGAGAGAGTGGTATCTGGTTTTGGAACACTCAAACTAAACCTGAATTTAATCTCAAAACATAAAGTACAGTGAAGCAGGGATGCCTTTTTTCCTTTGACTTCAGAACAGAAAGAGCCCCAATCAACACTTAACGGCTAAGTGCAGAGATTTTTTTTTTGGGGGGGGGGTATAGGGTAGGTTAGATGGCATTAAAAATGGCCACCCAATCTAAGGTAAGTCAGAATGGGGGAGCTAGTGGTGGGATCAGGGGTCTATGGGGGTGGTGGTGGAAGGGCTTGCATGTTCTATGGGAGCAGTGTGGGGGAACAGGTATAATCCATGAGGGATGGGGGGGATGCAGACAAGATCTGTGGGAGCAATAGGGGAGGGACTAGGGGCAGGTAGGAACTGCAGGGAGTTGGTGGGATCTGGGAAAGTTTAGTGGGATCAGGAGGGCTTGTGGAGTCCACAGAGGGGCTTGGGTGGGACCAGGGACTATTTTTAGCCACCCCAACCCCTCTTCCAGTGAGCCTCCCCCCTCATCCCTCCCACTGCTCCCACCACCAATACTTACTTCCTCAGCTTCTGGCATCTAAGCACTGATAAAAACTGGCACCTAGAGCAGTTTGCAGGCTGGGGGCGTTCAGTGGGGCTGACTGGTCCACAGGGGTGGGGTGAAGGGCCAGGGGCCTAAAAATAGACTGGTGCCAGGGCAGGCAGATACGAAAAGCTCATTCATGAGGCTGGGGCCAGAGGCTGGGCTTTCCCATCCCTGGGGATGTGCAGGTAAGTGTACTGATGTTTGATGCACCAGTCTAACCTAGATTGAATGTATACTGATCCAGGTCTATCTTAGACCAGGTTCCACCATTTTTAGACTGGTCTCTGTGCACAGAACTTCTGTACAGTTACAGTTTTAGACTGATTTCTGATCACTGAGATCAGGTCTAAATGCATCTGGGAGAACTAAATTAGACCAGGTGGCCATTTTGAACCCGATCTAACCTTCCCCTTTACCCTCATGAATGTGTGCAATTAACCACAACCTTACATTAGAAAACCAAGTACTGAAGCCTCCCCACCAAAACATAAATAACCCTTTTTACATAGGGAGGCTAGTGCAAGCCACGTGCATTTTGTGCATGCCTGACCCAAAATCAGTTTTTACTGCTGTGCTTTACTGCAGCTGCTCTCTCTCAGTCTCTTCCCCCTATATTTTGAAAGCAGAGATACCTAATGAGCTCTGCTGCTAACTTAGGCAATGCAAACACCGACATCATCCAGGGAATGCTTCCCCATCTTCCTATCCTTTCCTAAAACGAGAGGCTGCTTGAGTAAACACAGCAGACAAATTGGGCTGCAAGTCTCCCAAGTCTGGACAACAGGATTTGATTTGATCAGAGTTACAGCAGTGGAAGTTCAAAGTAGCTCCAGTGAGTCCCCTTACCTACTTGGGTTGACACTGGTGTAACTTAAATCAAAATATAGTTATGGCTTTTGAAAGTTCCAGAATTTTTGGTATTGTTTAGATTAAAATAATCTGCAGTATATCAGATGGATGCAGGAATTAAAAAAACAAACAAACAAAAAAGACAATAAGCAAAAACAGAAAACCACACAAATACCCCATTAACCAAAGGTTACCAAAGTGTTAATCAAAGACTTCTGGTTCATTTTAGCTTTGGGGAATTCACAAAAGTTCAGGCAGGTTCTTAATTTGTGAATGGTTTGTGAAATGGCCCCTGATTTTGTTTTGGCAATCTCAACTGTAGGACTGAATATCAAATATGCATGAAGACATCTTTCCAGACGCCTCTTAAAAGAACCTTTCCATGTCAGGAATGAGGGCCAATGTCACAGAAATAGGAGGACATTCAGATTTTATACACAGTCAGAGTAAATGTGCTACATGCTCTTTAAAGATACAAGACGCTGGAAAATATTTTTCACTGGCTCAAAACTCATAAAACTCTAAGTAGAATATTAACACAGGCCAGGTTTTTGGAGAGGGGAAATTAACTATATGGCTTGGTAGTTAGGCTTCTTAAGGACCAAATCCAAATCTAAATATCATCATCAAAATGTTGGAAGTTTCCATGTAGAATTTGGATATTTGCTTGAACACTTAAAAGACATCACCAACCTATGCTCATTACTAGATCCAAAATTTTTTTGAACATATATTTTAAAATATTTTATGATATTTAGGCCCTCCATAATTCTTACAACCAGCTATGTTAGGTGGCAAAAATAACTGAAATTCAATGTGTACAATATTTATTTGATAAATTCAGTGTAGCCAAAAGTAGTTACTGCACTACTGTTATTTCAGGATTCTAAAAAAAATAAAGGATGACAAAAATATAACTAAACTATTTGCCTTATTTCAGGTGGAACAAGCTATATAAATACAAGAAAGTGCATTTTTAAAAAATAGGTGTAATGACTTCAAATATTATTAGTAATACAAGCCTTCAAAGTAAAGGATTTTTTCAAACCTGAAAATGTCCTTTCAATTTGCTTGCTCCAAAATATTGATATTCATATCCTGTCCTATATAATTTATTATCTGTGCTGTCTGCCTAATGATCTTGATTTTTTTTATCATATAAAAGGTCTTCTAGCCAATATCTTGCTTCTTTCAACATATCCATATTTAAGTGTTTTACTGCTGTTGAGCGTACATACTAATTAATATTCTCCTGGTTTCTTTTTCTACAATTAGAAGACTTATAATTACACTACTTTCAGAATAGATGCCTGCTTTACTTATGGTACTAGATTGCACATGATTTGAGGGACAAAAATATCTGATTTCATATAGTTTAGCATTTGCACTGATGTATAAACTTAAGTACCCCAAATATTATTAGTAGATTTCTTCTGACAGCTATTACAATTTTATTTGGATTAACTTAAATGAGGGCTGAAGGTTCTTGAGGTGTCTCATTTTGGTATTAACATACTTAAAACTGCAGCAAAAAAAATCAGGAGATGATTTAATTATCTTACAATAAGATCCTTGGGGGAAAAAAAACCTAACACCTTAGTATACTGGATACAATTTAGAGAATCCCAGTGCAATAAAATACCAGCATTCCTATAGAACACTAAATCCTTCCAGAATATAATGAAGATGCCTTGATTTTTTATGTCTTTTTATAAGAAAGAGGATTTCACTAGAATTCTCAACAATGCCTTTTCTCTGCAAAAACTTTCTTTGAAAAATACAGTGAGAGTATTTGAATTAAAATACAAATATTACATTCATGCAATGGATTGTCTTTAATCCTGCATTTCCCTACATGCTTCAGAGAATTTGAGGCCAATATTTTTCATTTAGAGCAACCCGAGGGCTGCATGCTTTTTTACATATATTTCACATGGGTAATTACCACATTTGCTCACAGAAAGCAAATGACTATTGGAACAGGGGAACAGACTAAATATATCATCAGAACACACTTTCTTTTGAGTCTAACAACTCAAAGCCATGGCTAAGAATACTGATGCAAAGGAAAGCCCCAACAAGGATAAATCATTTGGGAAAGTATTAACTCCACGCTCTGAGTTTCATATCAGATGGTTCACAGGAGAGCTACTGGACAACAGTAACAAGGCAACTTAGCTGTAGTGTTAGAGGAGAGCAGGGTATGGTCTGTGAGAGTTTAAAATGCAGTCAGAAGTGAAAATCTTTGCCTGATCTGGCCCCCAAAAGTGGTCTACTGCCATGACCAGACAGAAGTGCAAGGCTATAGACTGATCCTGAGAAAATCTGAACCCTCATTGCACCCAAAACAGAGCACATTTTGTAACTTGTGATTGCAGAGCTCCCAGCCTGTTGCTGTTTTCAGAATGGGAAGGGGGAAAGTGAGTGCAGGGAGTTTGGTCTAGGTTTTTTTTCAACTGGAGCTGGAGAGTGGGGCAGGTAGATTGGAGCCCCTGAAGTAGGGAAGGTCCAATCCACTCACTTCACCATCCAGCATCAGCTGGAAAACCCCAAGAATGAGCTCCCTCTATTCCCTTTCCTTTTTCCCATTCTGCAAACAGCAACAGGCTGGGAGGTGGAAGTAGCATTGCTCCCGAGACCAGGCTGCAGGATCCTGGCAACCAAATGGAATCCCCAACTTCTGGGCCCACGAGCAAACTTCTGTTTGGTCTCAGGGATCATTGCAACTCATGGTGCTTCCTGCAAAGCGCTGAGTTGCAACAGGGAGCTGTGTCTTCTGTCTGCACCTTTAGTTAGTCTATTCCAACAGATGTCACTCATATATCTAGTTACACCTAACACCAATCTTGTATTAATTTGTATTCCTTGATTACAAAGCCATTACCAAAGTCATGTAGCATGGCAAGTGCATGGCTTCCAAATTCAAAATCTTGTCAGTTTATATCTTTGCTCTTATATATTTTTAAATGAAGTCTTTAATTAAGAAAACACTTCCATTATAAGGCTTTCTATTCAGCTATTATAGTTTTGCTTCTTGTTTTGTTTTTCAATATTGTGAGAGACAGAAATCCTGCTTTTTGGGTTAAGATATCATATACTTTTTCAAAACGTTAAGGTGTGTATTTTTACAATTTTGTTGCTTCTGTTGGTTCTGAGATATTTGTTTTTATTCTAAATTATGCCTTCAGATTAAAAAAAATCTGATATTGTTTTGTTCCTTAATGCTCAAAAAAGGCATTTTGTTAAAACTTCAGAGGATAAATTAACTTTACCCTTGAAGGTGTGGTTAACATTGGGGAAAATTCACACCAAATTGTAACTGCTTTTAAAACTCAGATAAAACAATTTGAAATTCAACTGAAATCATGGTATAGGCCAAGCTTCAGGCAACAGACAACATTTTTACTGAACCAGTTTCAACATTACTTTCAACACTGCATTTGCAAATGGTTTGGGGAATCTGTTTAGGTGAAGCAATTTCAAAACTAATTAGAATGTTTGAGGAAATTTCCCCAGTGTAGTTCTGGCCAGAAAGTCCCTTAACAATTTTGGGGGGA